CGGTCCCCCCCCCCCCCCAAGAAAACGCGACTTTTAAAAATGTGAAAATGCAATTTTCCGAAACCGATCAAAAATGCGACAAGCGAAGTCTTTCTTTTTGCCTATGAATAGGCGTAGGTCTCTGCCCCCCGGCAAGACACAGGGGGCCTCTTTTCGCTGGGGCGAAGTGCCCTTTCTGACGATGAGAGGCGATTGGCCGGACGTGCGGAAATTTGTCGATCGGCTGCGACAAAGGACGAGGGACGTTCCCTCTCGGCTACCGTGAGAACGGACCGTCCGTCGGTCGCCATAAAACGGTTTATTGCGGTTTGATGGTCTTTGTGTTGCGGTCTCGGCGCGCCTACAGGTGTCGAGGAAGGGTCGTCCGTTGTTAAGGGACACTTGTTGCTGCGTGTAGCCGTGCGTTCTGCATGCCCGTCCCAACCACCTGCGCCTCGCTTCAGCATCGAGAGAGCCATAGACCCCCTGGAGTGCGGGTCAGTCCAGATAAAGACACTAATAGGATTACGACGAAGACAAGCGTTTGCCTCAAACAGCAGGACGGACAAAGCCGCTCCAGCACCTGCAGAGTTGGTCGTGATTTTCCTCCGTTCGCCCAGGTTGCCGCGCTACTCCGTATGATGCAGCGTAGTTTAATAACTAACCGAGTAAGTGCCAGCCGTCTTTTTTAAGCGCCCCGTGAACTCCGGCGCTCGTCGTCACGTAATTTCTGTCCGGGGTCCGGTCACTTCGACGCCGTTCGCTGATCTCGAGACCGAAAGCGTCGAACAGCCTGATGAGTCGGGTGACGACGGAACCCGCAGTTCCTTCGGAGCCGCTCTCGTCCTCCACTGTTATCGCGAATGGAAATGACCTCGCCGTCGGCGATAACGAGGCGCGTTGCGATTCGCCCTCACGCGCGGAGATAATTTTCACTGCGTCTGACAAATAAGAATTGTCCTCTGGCCTCGGGGGGGCTCTTTCTGAGGTCCCGGCTTCGTGGGTTGTCGTGGTCTTTCTCAGACGAACAACGCCGAGCGAGGTAGCTCCTTGAAGTGGACGCCGCTGCACGGTCTGGGCGCAGTTTCCTTAATGGAGCGCGCAGCTGTGGCTACTGCAACCCGATCGCCTGCTTTCTTTATGGCCTGTGCAGGCGG